CATCCTGCACCCCGAGCCCTCATCCTGCATCCCGAGCCCTCATCCTGCACCCTGTGACCTCATCCTGCACCCTGTGACCGCATCCTGCACCCTGAGCCCTCATCCTGCACCCCGAGCCCTCATCCTCCATCCTGTGACCTCATCCTGCACCCTGAACCTTCATCCTGCACCCCGAACTCTCATCCTGCAACCTGTAACCTCATCCAGTAAACCAGTAACCTCTTCCTGCACCCTCTAACCTCATCTTGCACCCTGAACCCTCATCCTGCACCCAGCACCGGCACACAGCACCCTCCATCCTTCACCCAGCACCCTGAACCCTGTAACCCCTCATCCCACCCCATGAACCCTTCATCCTACACCCCACCCCCTGCACCCTTCACCCTGTAACCCTTTATCCTGACTCCTGCATCCTGCACCCCTCAGCCTGCACTTTGCACCTGTAACCTGCACCCTGCACCCCTCAGCCTGCACTTTGCACCTGTAACCTGCACCCTGCACTGTTCACCCCTCATCCCTTCCTTCCCCTGCACCCTTCATCCTTTATTGTGCACCCATCACCCTGCACCCCTGCACCCTACACGCTCACCTTGGACCCCTCACCTTGCACCTTTCACCCTTCACCCTGCACGTTCATCCTGCACCCTGCACCCTTGTGTCCTGCACCCTGTGCTCTGCACCCTGCTGAGGAGGTTCTGGAATGGCTGGATCACACCAGGGTCCACTGTGAGACCTGTTTTCCCCTCATGCCTCCTGTTCATCATTTATTTAAATGACAATGATCCCTCTTGTCTTTAGGAGACATTTCAAACCCCCGGCAGATACACCCCAAAATGACTGAGGAAAGTGAGGCAGGACAATCAGGGTGGCTCTGGCTGTGCTGCTATGGCTGCCCCTGACATCCCTGGATTTGGGGATTTAGCAAAGAAACACCCCCATGGCAGGTTGATGTGATTGTCCCATCCTGCTTTGTTTATCCACCCAAGGTACCCCAAGGGGCTCAAACCACAGGCAACCCTGGCTGTATAATTTAATGAGAATAAATTTAAAAAAAACCCCAGATGGATTGATGGTTAAAGCTCCCCAAAAGCCTGAGCACATCATGAGAGGAACTCAGTTCAGTCTGAGCCTCCCCAGTTCCCTCACAGGGCTTGTCATGGGAATGGAGAGTTGTGGCTGTTCTGCATGTGCTTGTTGGCAAGGACAATCCATGCCTGAGTTCAGATATCCCCTTGGATGCAGGCAGGGAGGAGGGAAGCAGCTCCCTGCCAGCTGGGCATCCCCCTGAGCTCAGCCCCTGTGGGGGAGAGGCTGCAGGGAGTGTCCCATGGAGGTGTCCTGTGCCAGCTGCCCTGAATTGCCCCTGGGATTCCCCAGCCAGGGCTTGGCTTCCCGGCTCTGATGGCAAAGGCTGTGCCACAGAGAGCCTGGGGAGTGAGCAACTGGCCCAGAGTCAGGGAGGGACTCAAAACTTCCTT